TTCATGCCTATAAAACTTATCAAAAGCAATCTTCTCACATGCATTAAACACGTTAGCAAAATTTGGATCATTAGCATATAATTTTTTAATGTGCTCAAAACCTAATAACTTTGCACTTAAGGTATAGAGAAGTGTGTACCTACGAGATAATGCATCAGCCACAATGTTTTCCTTTCGTTGCTTATACTTGATCACATAGGGAAACGTCTCAAGGAATTCCACCCACTTAGCATGTCGTCTATTCAACTTACCTTGTCCGTTCAGGTGCTTCAACGACTCATGATCAGTATGTATCACGAACTCCTTAGGCCAAAGATAATGCTGCCATGTCTCTAAAGCTCTTACTAATGCATACATCTCCTTGTCATAAGTAGGATAGTTAAGTGCTACACCAGTCAATTTTTCATTGAAAAATGCAATAGGTCACCGCTCTTGCATCAAAACAGCGTCAATGCCAATACCTGATGCATCACATTCAATTTCAAAAGTTTTAGTAAAATCAGGTAAAGCAAATAATGGTGCAGAAATTAAATTTTCTTTAATTAAATTGAAAGCATTCTCCTGTTCACTTTTCCACTTCAATCCAACACTTTTTTTCACAATTTCAGTCAACGGTGCTGCAATTGTGCTGAAATCCTTGATGAATCTCCGGTAGAAACTCGCCAAACCATGAAAACTCCGCACCTTAGAAATATTTTTAGGTGTTGGTCATTCCTTAATAGTCTTAAGCTTTTCTTCATCTACTGCGATTCCATCAGCTGAAACAACATACCCTAAAAAAACAATCTGATTTGTGCAAAAGGAACACTTTTTAAGGTTAGCAAATAACTTTTCTTTTCTCAACACCTCTAGTACCTTCGCACATGCTCAATATGTTCAATTTAATTCTTGCTATATATCAAAATGTCATCAAAATAAACAACCACAAATTTGCCAATGAAAGCATGTAAAACATGATTCATTAACCGCATGAATGTACTAGGTGCATTAGTTAATCCAAATGGCATAACTAACCACTCATATAAACCCTGTTTCGTTTTCAAAGATGTTTTCCATTCATCTCCTTCCTTCATCCTAATATGATGATATCCACTCTTTAAATCAATTTTAGAGAATATGCAAGAACCATGCAACTCATCTAACATGTCATCTAATCTAGGAATAGGGTGATGATACTTTACAGTGATTTTGTTGACCGCGCAACAATCAACGCACATACGCCAAGTCCCATCCTTCTTAGGCACAAGTAGCATTGGAA